TTTTCTTTCTTTCCCTTCTGCCTTGGCAGTGTTGAAGCACTTTGATCATTCTCTTCCAGACTCTGGATTTTAATGATCTATTTAATGCCTTACTCATCCACCCTGATGAACTCCTTCAGTCCAGATACTTGTCTTATTTATTCCACCACCCCACAGCCTGTGCAGCATCTGACATATGGATATGCTTAATGAAAAATGGCAGAATTAAATGAAAGATTCGAGGTGATAGGGCAGGTGTTAAATGATGCTATTGTGGGATGAGAAGAAGACATCATTGTATACCTTTGTTAGGTAGAAATTTTGCCCTGTATGTGCATTTAAAAAATCAACAAAAACAACAACCTAATTAATAAAGGGAGATAGCTAGGGGTCAGATCTATTTATTAATAAAATAAATTTTAACTTTTAAGAAATGGGAATTAAAGCTCATGAATTCATGGGAAATTTTAAATAGTTTTATTTTTTCCCTAATATATATTCCTGCATCTCCTACATTTAGCAGCAATCTTGTATTTAATCTCAACTCTAATTTAAATGGTAAAATAGAATTTTAAAATTCCCTCAAGAAATAAATCCTTACCTGGTTAAGCTTTATGTTACATAATGTTTATGTTTGTCTAGTGACTTGTTCTTACTGAAAGACTCTCGTTAAGAGCCCTTTAGCACTGATTTTCTCAAACTTGCCATAAGTAATGACCCTTTTGAAAGGAAACATAAGGAATGTATTTTTCATGTTACTTAAATTGTATAGCTATGAAACTAGATATAAAATTTTTATATTTTTGGCCCATTTACAACTATAAACCAAAGCGTACGAATTAAATACAAAGACGACTACAAAACTAAATTTCAAATTAATATAGTTATTCAGTGTGACAGGTAATATTTAGATTTCACAGTAGAAAAAATAGCGTTAGGTCTCATTCCATTTTAAATCTGTTTCTGTATTTTAACTTCAGTATTACTAAAAGTTGCAAGTACCCATTCTGCATAAGTAATGTTGTGTAAGGTGCTATTAATGACTTCAAGGCTTTGCTTGTAAGTTCAAGATAATCAGACCTCCTATCTAACCAAAACACTTGCCAGCAAGCATTCCTCAAATACCAATTTTAATGAGACGTCAGCTGTGGTGTTTACTTGAAGATGAGGTTAGCGTTATGTCATTACTGAAATCCTTATTAAATGATTCTCTACACCAGCTCGTGCTGGAAGTGAGAATGGAAAAATTGTCATTGGATACTTCTAACCACATTTACTTCTAAAGAACTTTTGCAATTGTACTACAAAGATAGGACCCATGTAATACTTGTAGCATATATATGGTATTAGCTATTGAACTATTTATTGGCTTTGAATATACCATGCCTGACTTGTCATATCCTCTGATGATTTTAATGTCCAGTATTTTTCACTCTTGATTAGTTACTATGAGACTTTTGCTTGTATAGTGTGCCTTTAGGACATTTGGCCTGAAGGAGATTTTTTTTTTTAAAGATTTTATTTATTCATGGGGCGAGGGGCAGAGACACAGGCAAGGGAGAAGCAGACTCCATGCAAGGAGCCCAATGTGGGACTCGATCCTGGGACTCCAGGATCACGCCCTGGGCCAAAGGCAGCGCTAAACCGTTGAGCTACCCAGGGATTCCCCCCACCTTTTTTTTTTTTTAAGATTTTATTTATTTATTCATCAGAGACAGAGAGAGAGAGGGCCTGAAGGAGATCTTAACACAACTGAAGAAGCATCAGTGAAAGCCTACTGACAGTACTTGTTTAAATTATGGTTACTTGTCCAGCATTTTTATTATTCATTTTAGATTATCTTTTAAATGAAAACATCAAAAAAAATTTTGTACACAATTCTTAAACTCCCCTTCTTCTCGCAACATACTTGTTACCTCCTGTTTGGGAAACATTGTTTTAGCATATATTTTTGTGATCTCTAAGAGCCCAAGATTCAAAGATGGGAAAATAAATTTTAAAAAACATAGTCCTTTTTAGTGTAATGAGACACACTTTAACAGCAAATTATAAATAGATTGATTTGTTCTATCTTAAAGGTAAACAAAGAGGACTTTGGGAACATATGTAAGGACCTACCCAGTTATCTTAAGAGTAGGGGAGAGTGTAGATTGTATCATGGAAAAGATCTTGTTTGAATAGGGTCTTAAAGGATAAAAGGCACTTTAAACTAGGCAGAGAGATAGTATGTGTAAAGACCATGGCCATGAAAGACATAAATGTCATAATGGTGAGAAGCATGTGGCCCTAGATTGCATTTGCAATGTGAGTGGTAAGTTAGAACCCAAAAGTAAAAGCCTTAATTGTTAGACCTAGTGTTTAGGTCTCATTTCATAGATGGTAAGGGATATATAGCAGTTACTACATTGTATTGCAGTGTTCTCATTCTGTAGGCCTTGGAGCTCTTCAAGGGCTATGACCATGAATTATCAATCTTCATACACTCAATTTTTGGTAGAGTAGCTGATAAAGCTAATAGAAAATATTGGTTGACTGACTCATGAGTAAAGGGGATTCAAGAGAGAATGATGGCAATCTCCTATGGTGGTGGTTTTAATCTTTTATGGTTGATAAACTCCTATGTGATTCTGTTGAAAGCTATGAACCTTGAAAATGTAAATACAACATTTGACAGTTTCATGACGTTCATGTATCCCTGAAACCAGTTCATGGATTTCTTATTCAGAATTCTTCCTTAGGAAATTGAACCTATAATCACCACTAAATCTCACCATGAATAACTACCACCTTTTTTAATAATCTTTAAATGTTAATATGATTTCACTCATGGAATTTAAGGAACAAAACAGAAGAACATAGGGGAAGGAAATGAAAAATAATATGAAGACAGAGAGGAGCAAACCATAAGAGACTCTGAACTATAGGAAAAAAAAAACAGGGTTGCTGGAGGGGTGGGGGGGGCAGGGTAATTGAGTAATGGGGTTAGGAGGGCACTTGATGTAATGAGCACTGGGTGTTATGTACAACTGATGAATCACTAAATTCTACCTCTGAAACTAATAATACACTCACTATGTGTTAACTAAATTGAATTTAAATAAACAATTTTTTAAAAAGAAAAATTTTAAAATAATTTTTTAAATGTTAGACTGTAATTATGTCTTTTTAAATACTCTTTTTGAGTTCTTATGTTTGGGAGGAGTTAATTCAAATAGCTGAACTATCTAAGAAGAAAGAACAAATCTTTTTTATAATGATTAAGGTAAAACTGCTGGTCTGTAAAGATAATAAACAAATATATTAATTAAGCCAGCAACCAAGAAGTACTTGCTTGAAGAGATCCTGACATTCCTGAATTTGGGTTTTGCAAGTGAGTTGAAGTCCCCAAGACTAGCATCAGGCTCAGTGATTTGCTAGAAGAACTCACAGGACTCAGAAAAGCTGTTGTACGCATGGTTATGGCTTATTACAGTGGAAAAGATACATATCAAATCATCCAAAGGAAAAGGCATATAGACAAATCCCAGGAGAAACCTGGTACCAGCTTCTAGGGGTACTTGCCCAGTGCAGTAGTACAGGTGCACACCAGAGCTCAGCAGCAGTGTGACAGCACGTGCACAGTGCTGCAGGCCTGGGAAGCTCAGCTGAGCCTTGGTATTCAGGGTTTCTACTGAGGCTCAGTCACACAAGGTTGCAGCATTCTTATCAGGGAGAATATTTCAAGGGCTCAGAGCTCATTTCATAGGGACTGGCCAAGGGCTAGTCCTGAAGACATGCATTTCTTGGGAATGTACAGGGTTTGAGCAACTCAAGCCTGCTGAGTTAACCCTTCCTGCACAGCAAGTTAACTACTCCACTAGTTTTCTTCTGGTCCTCCTGTCTACTATCTTTTTCTAGATACACTGTTTCTGTAGACTTCCTTGGTTTCATCATAGGTAGCCATTCTACATACTACATATCTGGACTGTAACTGTTTCCTCTCCAACAAGTAATTGGCAAGTTTGTTTGAACTTAAGGACATATCTGTGTTTTATGGTTTCATGAGATGGTAGTGAAATATAAGTACCCATTCTATCATTCATTGAACAGATTTTTTTTTTTTGAATGCTGGTATATGCCAGGTCTAGTGCTAGATGTGGATTTACAGAAATGGTTAATATGGATCTCTGCCCTCAATGAGCTTATAGTTTCATAGGGGAGAGAAAGTTAGCAATTCTAGTGAGTAGTGTGTGCTTTGGGCCGTATTTAACCTCATTGGAGGGCCTGATGGAGAGTATATGTGTCTGTGTATGTGGGAAGGTGTTGGTAATTAGGGGAAGACTTCCCTAAAGGAGTTACCTCTTGAGTTGAGCCATAAAGATCAAAAGATTCAAGCAAGCATGGTGCTAAGTGTTTCTCCAGTCTATGGCTGAGTGTGTGATTGGAGCATTTATGTAGTACTGGTGCAGACTCCCTGGCTTACTGACCAAGTAACACTAACCCTAGCTAGAAGGTTACATGTCTTTCTTAGGGTTTGCACAAGAAGAGTGTCTGTCTGGCTCAATACAAATCTATTTCCATTTTGCTCCATCGCCATAAATCACCCAAATGACATTTCCAACCTATGGTGGGTAGGTAGAAGTATTTTCACACATTGCTTCCCAGTGGGGGAGTATGTAAATATATAGCTTTGAGCTGTTAAGAATATAGCCATTAAAAATTTAAAGTACTGTGTTTCAAATAGGAGGGCAAATGCTTGCCTTACCTTAAGGAAATTACTTGTAATAATTTTTCTGTGTTTGGAAGTGAAAAAGTTCTAGAAAAAACCCTGAGTCCAGATTTTATCATATTTGGCTGTTTTGTATGTGTGGTTCTCAACAGAATTTGGAACTTCTGAGAGTAATAAAAATTTTGTTTTTTGAACGTTGCAAAGAAATTGTATGATTATAATAGGATCAGGAATGTATTATAGTGAATATAGTGAATTTCAAATTGTTAACCTAGAGGATTTTTTCTAATAGAATCTTGTTCTCTTTTTCCAGCATTACAGTGTTTCTGCCACCTTTGTACAAAAGACAATTTTACTTGTGTGACAGATGGGCTCTGCTTTGTCTCTGTCACAGAGACCACAGACAAAGTTATACACAATAGCATGTGCATAGCTGAAATTGACCTGATTCCTCGAGACAGACCATTTGTATGTGCACCATCTTCAAAAACTGGGTCTGTTACTACAACCTATTGCTGCAACCAGGACCACTGCAATAAAATAGAACTCCCAACTGTTGGTAAGTTGTTATATAAGATTTTTTGTTTTAATACTACAAGAAAAGTTGATTCTGACTATGGTTTTAGAACTGGAAGGGATCTTAGATATTGCTACCCTAGCTTATTCAGTTCAGAGGCAAGAAGGAACTTGTCCATAGTTGTAGAGTTATAGGAGTAGCCAAGATCCTGACTTGTGGGTGTGTGTTGTTTGAGAACGTAGTTCCAATAATAGACTTTCTCTGAGGTCTGTTATGCCTAAAAGGCTAGTCTCTTAAAGGCTAATTCTGACAAAGCTGCTGTGGCAGTACGTCCCCGGAGTGAATTTCTTCTCTTTGTATGATGCTTCAGCCTTTTACAGCAGTTGATAATGGATGGGAATTGAGAGCAGCACTGAACTGTTCAGCTGCCTTCATTTTGTAATTTAACTCTGCTTTATAATCTCTTTTATATGAAGCATTATATGTGATTTCTAGGTTTTGGTCCTTCACCATAGTTTACATTTTACAATGTCCTGACAGAGCCAGGAATTTGAAAGCTTTATTAACTCGTAGGATTAGATTAATTTTCTGGTTCTCGTTGAAGATCTTAGTCTGAACACATGTATTTAACTCTTCCATCACTTTCCTCAAATCCCAGATTTCTGTCATAATCAAAGGAACATAAACATGTGGGAAACCTGTATTCATGTTAGCAGAATTAATGGTAGAATACCACCCTCATGCCTGCACTTGTGAGAAGTTTCTATAATTTATGGGGCAGATAACATCATATTAGTGAAGATTGACTACCCATATGAAAAGAGGTCAGTGAAAGGACCTCTTAGTAAATCCCACCAAACCTTAAGCTGAGGGGCTTGGCATGAGGACGTACAGGACCAAACACTCAGTTCTCCTTTAGGAAGAAGCACCTAGTTTCATTGCTCAGGGAGGCAGACCACAGTGCTCATTCTAAGCTCACAGTTGGTCTAGGCATCATGCTAACTGATGTAAGAAGCACTGCTGTGGCTGTGCAGGTTATACAGGGAGGCAGTGCTCTATTTCATTCAAGTGAGAATAGCAAAGTAAAACCAGATCTTCAGCACGATAGGGAAGTTTCTCATGGCAAATTTCGATCGGACTGTAATTTTTCTGACTTTTGTTTAAAGTATCTGCAATTCTAATATGATAAAGAAAATGATAATTCTGGAATTTCCCATTTCCATTGTTTGGCCTTCAAATACCTAAATGAAGAGTCACAAAGCCTTGTGAAGAAGTCACTTCATTTCTAATGCTAAACATACATAAATTCTTCATTCCCAGCTCTGTGTTAAGCAAACACCAAAAAAAAAAAATTACCAAATGAAAAGTTTCAGTGGTTCAAAAAAAGTGAACTGAACTGGGTAAATCAGAGTAGATGTCATCCTATGAAAAAGACTTATGTCATGATAAGGAAGAACTTTCAGACAGTCCAAAATCCATTTTCCATTAAAGATCACTTTTAAATGAAAAGCTCGATTGATGAATTATTTTTAAAAACGTAATATTGAAAGTGAGTAGCAGACTGGATACTAATATTTTGTAGCCAAGTGTGAGACAAGCTTAAGGCAAAGACAAGCTTGTGAAATTGTGTTGCAATTCAGGGAGAAAAGACAGCAAAGAAAGAGATATAGAGGATAAATCTAGGTGATCCAATATGCTTATTACAAAAATTCCAGAAAATGACATACAGGGAGACAGAAGAGAAATGAATACTATGCAAAATTAATGAAAAAATAAATACTTAACTAAATATGTATAATAAAAAGTGTCAGTTTTAAGAATAAAGAAAAAAATAGGCATTCAGAACAAGGTAACACTGCTTACCTCTACAAGAGAAAAAATTCAGATTATCTTCTTTTTTTTTAAATATCAGAGGACAGTGGAACATCATATATTAATTGCTACCCAAAATTCTTTAGATCAGCCAAAATTTTCCATATATAAAAGCAATAACCATGTTTAGATAATTATGTATTTAGTAAAAAAAATTACTAGAATTAGGATTCTATCATAAATCCAAATAAAGATCTCACGAATGGGAAAGTTGTGATATGAAAGAAATGTCTGTGAGCAGTAAACTAGCAAGGCTCAGGATGAATGCCAAAAATCATTGTAATTAACGTATTTCTGAAATAGTGCAAAATTTTAGTTATTAAAAGAGATCATGAGAAAATAAGTGATCTTAAATTAAAAGTCCAAGTGGTTAACATAGACTAGAAAGTATATACATGCAAACTCTATTAACAAAACAAAAGTTATATTTTACATTAAAAAAAAAATGGATGGAAGGATGCCCGGCTGTCTCAGTTGCTTAGAGCATGTGACTCTTGGTTTCAGAGTCATGATTTTGAGCCCCATGTTGGGTGTAGAGATTACTTAAATAAAAGTTTTAAAAAAATGGATGGAGATATATACACAGGCATACACTAAAATGTGAGTTGTTTGAGTGGTAAGGCTATAGATAATTTTTTCTCCTTCCTTCTTTCCTTTTTTTACTTTTGCTCAGCTATATTTATACTTTGTTTTGTTTTGTTTTGCTTATTATGAGTGTATATTGGGCAAAGAAGGCAAGCCAAACTTCTTTTAAAAAAAAAAAAACAACCTTGTGGGGAATGGTGGGTATTAAGGAGGGCACTTTTTGTGATGAGTGCTGAGTGTTATATGTAAGTGATGAATCACTGAATTCTCCTGAAACTAAGATTACACTATATGTTAACTAACTAGAATTTAAAGTAAAAAAACAAATGCTTAAGTACACTTACCATGATGAGCACTAAGTAATGCACAGAATTGTTGAATCACTATGCTATATACCTGAAACTACTATAATCCTGTATGTTAACTATACTGGAATTAAAATTTTAAGAACTTAATTTTAAAAAAGTACTTTTAAGACATTAAAGGAAGTTTTTCTAGATTATTGGTTCTTTTATTAGTGACCAGAGAGTGATAATATGGAGGTCCTAGAATGGTGGTGATCACTGGCTTTATTTAGATGTAGGCTGAAGAGCAGAGGAAGAGTAAGTGGATGTTGACTGAGCTGGTGATCATGAAAGGAGGGGCCAGTGGGTAAAGACTGGATGATTCACTTGTTCTGGATTTGAGCCCTGTGAGCTTCTGGAATGAGGCTCTCTGACTAATGGGAGTAGTGGCCAAGTACAGGAAATGTGGAGGATTAGGAAATTGTGGATGCCCCCTTCAGTGTTTTTGCTATTGTTGATGTTTATTTCATTTGAGGCCCTTTTTCAGGAAAGCCATCATCTGGCCTTGGTCCCGTTGAACTGGCAGCTGTCATTGCTGGACCAGTCTGCTTTGTCTGCATCTCACTTATGTTGATGGTTTATATCTGCCATAACCGTACCGTCATTCACCATCGAGTGCCAAATGAAGAGGATCCTTCCTTAGATCGCCCTTTTATTTCAGAGGGCACTACATTAAAAGATTTAATTTATGATATGACAACATCAGGTTCTGGATCAGGTAATGTAATTGTTTTTCCTTTATCCTAGGAAGTCTTTTAAAAATTAACTGTATTGTTTATTGTTTATTTTGTTAGTTGGCTAAGTCCATTTGGCTTAGTGTATATAAAACTTGAGACAGTGTGAATACTAATTCCAGTTTAAAGCCCAATAAGAGTCTGACTGTGACTGGTCTGGCATAGACAAATTAGAATATACCTTTACTGTTGAAATAAGTCAGCTTCATGTTTGTATAGATTTCAAAGCTTTCTCATCTTATGACTCCATGGGATAGAAAGAATGAGGACAAGTATTTTCTTATGAGTGAGGCTGAAGTTCGTAGATATTCAAATGATCTGCTGCTCCCCATTTTATTCAGAATTGTTTAGCAGCTTTATTTTTATATTTGAAAGCAAGCATGACAGAAAATGTGTTTGGAATTGCGAAGGTTATTTGCTTTTTTAACATATGAAATTGCTGTCTTTAGCTCAGACCTAGTTTTTTTTTTTTTTAATTAAACTAAGGATTTTCTCAGTTTAGAAAAATGTCTCACCAACTTCTTATTTAATATAGCTTTATGGATTCATGGCCTCTGTGAGGTTTGCTTTTCTCATTTCCATTTGCTGATTCTTGTGGTTTCAGAAGTAGACTGGCTAATTGCCAGAATCATCCCTTGAAATGGATTTTGGTATAGCAGTGCTTCATGTTTAAACTGAAAGGGATCTATTATTTCACTTGCATGTGCTTTGAAAGGATGCTAAGAGAGGAGACCCCTGTCCTCTACAATATTGTAATTGGACACTGGGCTAGGAATCAAGAGATGTAGATTCCATTGCAAGTTTTGTCATTGGTTGGCTCTGACCTTGGTTAAATCATGTTTCTTCTTTTGGGCTTCTGTTTCCTTGTCACAAATAGGGAACAGATACTGAGATATACTGTCTTTTGAAAAATATAAATCAACTTCAAATAAAGCCTAGGTTCATGGATAAAATGAAGATTTGAAAATATATATATATATAATGAAAATTTCATGATTTTTATAATCAAGTGACTAAACGAACATTAAAGCAGAAGTTGTGACTGGAGGAAGAACATAACTGAAGCATGAAGTCACATCTGATACTACAGAAAGTTCGCACAATGACAAATGTCTCTTTATTTTAAGGAAATGAATATATATTGATTTATGTGCATATCTGTTGAGTCATATAAGTATAAAGAAACCGACTTCTTAGCCTGAAGCCATGTGTTGGCTTTGGCCGTATATATTCCATAAGTGATCTCTGTTCATGACACTAGGACACATACAGGCTTGCACTGGAACCCAGGTCTCTCAAGGCAGCCTTTAGGGACCCCTGAGACTATTGTGAGCAGGGAGGCTGAATCGATTGAGAGGTTGGATTGAGGTGGAATAGCTTTGGTACTGAAGTTGTGCAGTCTTTGGGCTGTAGTGGTAGAGGAGTGGAGAAAGCTTGTTTTAGGGCTTCCCTGGGGATTTCCAGTTGATTCTTAGTCCAAAGGATTCCCAAAGAAGCTCTGGCTCATTCTAGAAGTCATCCTAGACCAAAAAAACTATGATAGGCAATGACCAAAGTCACAGAAAATCAGGGTGGCTCGAGATCATTTGGAATTAATCCCTTGTTGCCAAACTTACACCCAGGGAAATCACAGCTGCTCATGCCACTTGGCACAGTAGTAATGTATCAGGCCTCAAGGGGAATAAGCCTACCTAAAGGATTAGAAGAAATTGCTGTGTGGATGACAGCTGATTTCTGAATAAGAATACATTTATTTACCTTTTAAGATTTGGATGTAAAGTCATGAATGAAATTTCTCTTTTTCCATTTTATCTGTATTTCTAGATATATCAGGAACCACAGCTCTGTTATCTGAAAGCCTCTTTCTCTCCTTTTATGCCTGACCCTGCAAAAACTTGTCTACATTGTTTGCTAGCTCTGTGGCTTCGGGCAGTTAGCTGATGTCTCATGCCCAAGTTATTTTATCTTTAAAATGAAAGTAATGAACTCTGCCCTATGCACGTCACTGGATTGTTGTGAAGTTCAAATGGGACAAGATGTTTTGATAAATTGTAGTTATGTCCAAATGACAGGTGTTATTCTCTCTTATTGGAAAGAAACTTGAAAGAAAAATCTGACAAATAGTATCAATTTGCTGCATTGTACCAATAAAACTTAGTCGAAGGCCTCCTTTCCCTATCATAGTTCTATGATGTACTGAAAGGCCTCCAAATTTATTGAGGGAGAAGCTATCTTATGTTGAATGATAGCAGAAAAAGTCACCTGTTTCCCTCCTATATTCATTATAAAGCCTTAATGCTGTCTCATGCATGGGACTCATCATGACTGAGTAAGTAAAATGTCTTTATGTAATACCCTTTTCAGTTCTTTGGCCCATTGAGAAAAGGTAAAACTAAACATTTCAGGTTAGGAATTCATATGTTTATTATTCAGTACTGTTGCAATGGTGAAGGAAAGTCCTGATCTCCGTTTCTCAAAGACTATATCATTAACTTGGGAACTATGGGCAGCTCTATCCCTGAGGCTAACCTAATTCCTGTCGCATTAATTTGAATCACAGGTTGTGTGTGTGCCCCTATTTAAGCGTCATTAGATTGTAAAGTGTATGTGTGAGCATGTGCACATGTGCCAGTTTTTGAAAGGCAGTGAGTCTCTTAAGCCACTGTTCATTATGTCTTGTTTATGCTTATAGTCTCTTATGTGTGTGGGTTGTTTGGGTCTTCTTTCTGTTGTTCACTGCTTGTGAAGCTGTCCGGACCCTGTTTCCCTATTGAAATTTTTCTTTCAAGCAGTTCTAAGGATACTGAAGAGGAAAGCGAAGAACATAGAGATTTGAATTAGGCCTGTTTATTTTTCTCTTTAGAAGTAAAGTATTACTGCTCATGTATTCATGTGGGTTATGGTATAACTAAATATAGATAACATCATGAATCTAGACATGGCTTTGACTTTTAGTTTGGGATCTAGAATCCAGTGATGATGGGGAGACAAAAACTTTTCTTGTCCTGGTAGCCTTTCTTGACCATATTGTTTACATGGGGCCTGAATGTACTAGACATTTCAGACTTCCCATTTGTAATTCCCCTTTCTCCTGTAGTCCTTGCCTTTCTAACTTCCAGAGTAGCCTCTTAAAGTTAACTCTTAAGTATACTTTAAATCTTTAAGTATGTGATGTGATCCTGTTCAAAGGATGTTCTTATAAATTAGTATCTACACAAAGCAACATAATTAAGAATCTTCATAATAGAAAAGAGCTCCTTGATTTAAATAAGGATTTTTCACAGATTTATTTTTCAGCAAGCAGCTTCCTTATAAACATAAAAACAATTGTTTATAATTAGACTGCTAACTACTTTGCAGGAGGTGAGGTGGATAGAGAGCAAGGAGAGGAAAAGGACCCATTCGAGAAACATGTAAATGAAAAGAAGAAAAACTTATGATTACTTTAAAGTAAAGACAACATTTGGATTTAGAAACCTTTCACATCAGGAAACCAAAGAGAGCACATAATTTCATTTACTATCATTTGATTAATTCAGTCTAGCAAGGAACTCTGAATATAGATTATAAATCACACAAATTTATGTGTATAGATTGTATAAAAAAATACTAGTGTAGAACATGGTTTATGCTGGTATTTTTATTGTCAGGGTCAGTATAATTTAAGATGACTCTTACTTAGTCCAGGAGGGAATATGATACTAAGTGAATTGGAATAGTCCCATATATAGTGTTAATTAAATGTTGTAGGGTGTGATAAATCCTTTTCTGTAAACAAGTAAATGGCAATATTTTAAAAATATATATTTAGAGGAGGGCACATTCAGATGGTGAAATAATGCCAATGTCTCATTACCACGTTAAGTTACTTGGCATCATTCCTTAAGATACTAATGTTGCCTACACAGCCAGTTCCTAGTAAGTAAATTGCTTGTCTTGAAATGGTTTCTGTGATAAATTTTACTGATTGTACATACAATGGATTGTACATACAGATTTTATGTTTCTTATGTTCACATACTTTACTCCTTCCATCAATAAAGCCATTACCAGATTCATTCTTCTAAAATAAGATTTTTAAATTACTTCTCATTCATGAACCCTTTTCAGAAATTTTTAATAGCTCCTGTTTTATCCGCAGCACTCATTGGTCATCTTCAGCTCAGCATTCGATGCTCTTCATACTCTGCTATCAGTTTCCCTTCTCTTCCACTGCTTTACCACACACATCGCCTTCTGTTTAACTGAACTGGTTCCGTAAACATCCATTCATTTCCCTCTTCTACCTTTGTTTTAATATTCCTCCTACCTGAAAACCTTATCTCCTCTTCTTCTGTGGTCCTATTGCTTCCATGAAGGACAGTCAAAATTCAGCTTATTTCACAAAGCCTACCTGGACCCTCTAGGCAGGAGTTTCTGGATTCTTTTATTGTATTTATTATCTTATTTTCATTTTATTATGAATTATTATTTTTGCAGATGTAGTCTGTAGCTCCTTAGTGAGATTGTAAGTTCCATAAAGACAGAGCCTTAGGAGTTATTCTGTTCCTGGGTCACTCTTTAATGGCTTTTTTTATCTTTAGGTTTACCATTGCTTGTTCAGAGAACAATTGCAAGAACTATTGTATTACAAGAAAGTATTGGCAAAGGTCGATTTGGAGAAGTTTGGCGAGGAAAGTGGAGAGGAGAAGAAGTTGCTGTTAAAATCTTCTCCTCTAGAGAAGAGCGCTCATGGTTCCGTGAGGCAGAGATTTATCAGACCGTAATGTTACGTCATGAAAACATCTTGGGATTTATAGCGGCAGACAATAAAGGTCAGTAACATCTGCTTCTCCTCTTAGTATAATGAAATCTACTTGAGCCTTTCTATAAATATGGCTACTAAACATTGTCAGGTTTGATGAAAAATAAATGTTTGTCATACAGATTAGACCTATTAAGTCAAATAGAATATATTTGAAATCTTTAGAAATAGGAGCTTCTTAAAGATTTTCTTGACTCTTGACAACATGTTTCTAAATGTCTAATGTTTTATAAGATATAAAGGGCTGAATATATATTTAAAAGTGATATGCTTTTAGGACACCTGGGTGGCTCAGCAGTTGAGCATCTGCCTTCGGCCCAGGGTGTGATCCTAGAGTCCCAGGATCGAGTCCCACATGGCCTCCCTGTGTGGAGCCTGCTTCTCCCTCTGCCTATGTCTCTGCCTCTTTCTCTGTGTCTCTCTTGAATAAATAAATAAAATCTTAAAAAAAAATAAGTGATATGCTTTGTTATTTTGGTTTTATAAGGTAGAAAGCTACATATATATTTAAAAGTGATATGCTATTTTGGTTCTAGGCAGTTATTTGAGTATAGTCATAGCATAGAAAAAATGGGATTTATAAAGTCTAGCTGCTCAAAACTTTGAGATAGGATAGAGCCCAGAGATCTGTTTCATTTAAATTTCCTCATGACCATTAGGGCATTCTATTTTTTTTTTTTATTTTTTTGTTTATTTATGATAGTCACAGAGAGAGAGAGAGAGAGAGAGGCAGAGACACAGGCAGAGGGAGAAGCAGGCTCCATGCACCGTGAGCCTGACGTGGGATTCGATCCCGGGTCTCCAGGATCGCGCCCTGGGCCAAAGGCAGGCGCCAAACCGCTGCGCCACCCAGGGATCCCCCATTAGGGCATTCTAATAGATACTAATGACTTTCTTTTTAGGAAGAGTAAAAATAACTTAGTATATTCTGTGTTTTAAGTTGCCGGAGGCTAAATAGTCTTTTAAATCCAGTTTACTAAATAGAGAAATAGTTTCTCCGGACCACAGTGCCCATTGGTGACCAACCATCTAGATGCTTTCTTGCCTGTGGCACAGGTGCCTGGTGGCCTGGCTCAATTTGATGCTGCAGGAAGTGCGGAAGCCATGTCAGTGGTGTGTCAGAGTGAGCGCTGACAGGGAGCAGTGGCTTCACACTGTACTTCATCTATTATCTTGGCTTTGGTTCCTACTGTTGTGGCCACAATTCCTGCTCTTGTAGCTTCCTCAGAGACTCCGGTTAGAACTCTCATCATCCCTGCCTGCAATCAGATATATATCCCAGCTTTCCTATTATTAAAAAATGCATCATTTTCTCTTTGAGATTGGCCAGAACTATGGTCCTCTTTTTCCTCTTCTCCCCTCCCATTTTCTTCAACACTATTTATTTCTTCAGAATATTAAGTGTTTAATGATTTTCCCTTTTGTTTCTCTGTATTTTTTAGTTTATTTGCAGTAAGCATTTATTACTTGTTTCTTTTTCAGATTTTATTTCTAGAGAATTTCCAATATGTAGAAAAGTGGAGCGAGTAGAGTATAATGAATACCTGTCACCCAGCTTCAGTAGCGTTTAGGTCATTGCCAATCATGTTTGATATGTTTCCACCTACTCTGCCTCTATCTGAATTATTTGAAACCAAAGATATGATGATAAATCTTTTTATCCACAAATACTTTTCATTTGTATCTTTAGATTAAGGAATCTTCTTAATGCAACATGACCACGCAATTCTTGTCAATTTTTAAAATGTCATCAGTATCCAGTCAGTTTCATGTTTCTGCAGTTGTATATTATTTTTTTTTTAAAATTGGCTATTCACTTTAGGATGCAAAGTCTACAGGGACACCTGGATGACTCAGTGGTTGGGCATCTGCTTTTGGTTCAGATCGTAATCCCAGGGTCCTGGGATTGAGTCCTGCATTGGGCTCCCCAGAGGGAGCCTGCTTCTCCCTCTGCCTGTGTCTCTGCCTCTCTCTGTGTCTCTCATGGATAGATAAATAAAATCTAATTTTTTTTTTTAAGGATGCAAAATATGGCATTTGATTGGTGTTTTTCTTAAATCCCTTAAAATTGCTATGTTCCCTCTTCCTTTTTTTTTTTTTCTTTTTCTTCTTGCAGTTTGTTGAAGAAACTGGATCGTTTGTCCTATAGGCCTTATCACATTATGGATTGTGTTGATTGAATTTCCATAGGCTCTCTGAAGTTGCTCCTTGTATTTAAAAACTAGTAGTTAGGATTAGAGACTAAATCTGATTATTGCATTTTATTGGCTTCCTGAAAATATTGTATACTTTCCTATATATTGCATACTTTGTATTATACACTTGTATATTATATACGATATATTGTGTATTATATAGTCTATCACATTAGGAACCATATTAGACTACTATCTTTTTTAAAGTTTTTATTTATTTTAGTGAGTGAAAGAAAGAGCAATAACAGGGAGAGGAGCAGATGGGGAGAGAGAGGGAGAGGGAAAGGGGAAAGAATCTCAAGGAGATTATCTGCTGAGCATGGAGTGGTGAGACTCCATCTCACTATCCTGAGATCATGACCTGAGCTGAAAAGAAAGAGTTGAACGCTTAACCACCTGAGCCTCCCAGGTGCTCCTTAATTTGCGATTTAGGGGCAGTGATAGCAATGGATGTGATGGCTGTAGACTGTGATTTATCAGTGACTACTACCAATTCCATATTACTTGATGTAAAAACAAAAGAAACAAAAGCAATGATCATAGTTTGACCAAGTCCTTAGTTTTCCTTTTCTTCTGCTTTTGGCACCATTAGCATCCCCTCCAACTTTTTTTTTTTTTTTAAGATTTTATTTATTTATTTGATAGAGCCAGAGAGCACAAGCGGTGGAAGGGCAGAGGGAGAGGGAGAAGCGGCTCTCCCCTAAGCAGGGAGCCCAACGTGGGGCTCAATCCCAGGACCCCGGAATCCAGACCTGAGCTTAAAGCAGATGCCCAGCCAACTGAGCCACCCAGGTGCCACTCCCCTCCAACTCTTAAAACAACCTTACAAACAATGTTTCATGACTCTGGATTTTATGTGTTTGTTTCTTATTTCTTAGTAGTTGTCTTTTTTTTTTTTGTAAAACTTTTTACTGATTCGTATGAAGGCTGAGTCTACAAAACAGTAATTGCTCCCTTGAAGGACTTATCCACATGCATAGTGGTAGTTTCAAACTTGACTGTGGTAGTTGCTATTCAATCTGTCGTTTGGGGCTCAAACCTTACCCAGGCCCAAGATGTTCTAGGCATATTCCAAGTTGCAAACACCCTGGTACAAAGTACCCTTGCTGCTGTTCCCTGAACTTTTTCTTCCCATTTGCTCAGGCAGCAGCCAAGCTGGTGCTGTCATCTGGTGGTCACTATGGGAACTGGCTGACCCTCTTGGGTCTTCCTCACCCTCTTCTTTCTTCTTTGTCAGGGGTTAATGGACTTTACTCAGAACCTAACCCATCCACCATAGTTCGCTTCTTCTTTATCTTTATTCCCCTGATTTAGTTAATTCCACCTCAGACAACCCTTTATATTACACAGCCTCTTACATATCCTTTTTTCTGCGTCTCTTTTTAATTACCTCAGAAAATCTCCCTTTCTTCCATCTGCCTGTGTTCCTATTTATTTGTCAGCCTTTCACAATTCAGTCATGATTAATAAGCATGCAGATAAAAATAGTGATGCATTTGTATCAAGGAAAATAAAAGGTACAAGTTTGAATAGAATCAGTTTATAAAGTTTATGAAGAATAAGTATGTGGGGGCAGCCCAGGTGGCTCAGCAGTTTAGCGCCGCTGTCAGCTCAGGGCGTGATCCTGGAGACCCGGGATCGAGTCCCACGTCGGGCTCCCTGCATAGAGCCTGCTTCTCCCTCTGCCTGTGTCTCTGCCTCTCTTTCTTTCTGTATCTCTCATGAATAAATAAATAAAATATTAAAAAAAAAGAATAAGTATGTGAAGAACTAGTGTCATGAATATCTAAATTATTTTAAAGTATCCAGAAGTCACCTCCAGAATCTTCTGAAAATACCTAGAGTTGCTTTCTTGCAAGTAACAACCTTCAAAATATAGAAGCTGTTTTATGTCAATTGGGGTGGATATTGTTGTTGTTTTTTACAACCAGTAAGGAAGGAAACAGCCCATTTTAAGTTCTTATTGCTATGTATTATGCTAAATCTTAATCAGTTGTCCTGTTTTTTAAATCTTCTTAACAGTTTTACAAAAGTAAGGTATTCTTGCTGTGTAAAAGAAGAAACAGAGATTTCACTGGTTAAGAAACTTAGGTCACATAGTCAATAACAACTAGTCCCTGGATTTCACCCCAGATCAGAGTGACTCCAAGTGTGTATCTTTTACTGAATTGTGGTGCCTCCTAGTATTGTTGTAATGAATGATTTCATGAAATATGAGTGGTTTTCTTGCTACTCCTAGGTTAAATAGGCTTTTGTGGGTTAGCCTCGCCTAGAAACCTACACAGAATCTTTACCATGATTCCCATGAAAATACACATTTCAAATCCATGTATCAGTTTACAAAAACATTTCTGGAATACATATTCCTAGTTTTTTTTTTTTAAGATTTTATTTATTTATTCATGAGAGACACACAGAGAGGCAGGGATATAGGCAGAGGGAGAAGCAGGCTTCCCTGCAGAGAGCTCGATGTGGGACTCAAACCTCGGGATCACGCCTTGAGCCAAAGGAAGATGCTCAACCACTGAGCCACCCAGGCATCCCTATATATTCCTAGTTGTTGAAGTTCAAAATCACCTTGTGTAAAACTGGGTTCAGCCCCAGCTTTTTGTCCCCCTGAGGTTTTAGTTCCTGTCTCAACTTTCCCATGTGTCCGTGATACCACTATTTTTATATTTTTTCTGAGCTGGAAACCTTGGAATCATAATCCTTTTACCTGGCTTTTTTGTGAACTGAATGTAGTCTGTGATTAAAGCTTGCATTTCTTCATTTATGCTCACTTTCAGTTTTGTCCTGTACTATTTTATTCCTACTGTGGCCACACTAGGCTCCAGATACTTCTCATTACCCTCCCTCTCCCTTTTTCCCTCCTCCTTCCAGAAACAGCCACTGAGCACTTATCCTAAACCAGACATTTTCTAGCCAACTGAGGATTCCCCAGTTCTGCTACTATCTGTGTAGATTCAAGACCACCATCTTTGAACTATGATTCCTTATCTCTTAAATGGGATTAGTTTTCCTTGGCTTATCTCAGGCATGGGGGCTTCCTCAGAGGATCTGAAAGATATGTATGTAAAAGTATAAGACAAAATGAAAATATGAAGGAAATAATATCCATCTTAAGGTATCATCATCCTGTTCCATCAGGATTGAGAGTAAAAAGTGGTAGCTTTTGAATAAATGGATGTTTTACAACCCTTCTGAAACACTGTTATTGTACTCCACAGACAATGGTACATGGACTCAGCTCTGGTTGGTGTCAGATTATCATGAGCATGGATCCCTCTTTGATTATTTGAACAGATACACAGTTACTGTGGAAGGAATGATAAAACTTGCTTTGTCCACAGCAAGTGGACTTGCGCATCTCCACATGGAGATTGTTGGTACCCAAGGTAACTCAAGTGCTTATGTTATTGAAGCTTTAAATTCCAGTGAATATAATGTCTGTTAGAAAATTTTGTAAGTCAGCCCAAGTGAAGATGTTTAAAATGAGGTTTTTAATATTACTTTATCTTTCTGTTGAAAATCTCAGAGTTAAGAATATGGGTATTTGTTTAGAGATTCTCTAGTCATTATAACAATACCTACATGTTTGTGAATTCTTAAAAGTAGCATCTAGAGTTGTGATTTTTGAGGATTTTGATTTTAGAATTCAAGTCTGAAAGAATGTGTGTTTCTGTGTAGTAGTACAAAATGTAATGTGAAAATTCTTTTTAAAAATCAACATGCCACCTAATGTTATATGGCCAAATAATTATATTTGACCCCAAGATAAGGTGACTGCATGAGACAGTTTTATAGATGAGAAAATCGTATATGAAATTTTAATTATGAAATTGTTATGGTATGATTATTGTGCCATGTAGTATATAAAATGCTAATGTATCTCTCTCCTCTAGTGATTATCTTCTTGCCCTGGTGACTCTTTCATTCCTCACTTTACTACGTACATGTTATTTCACATCTTAGCCTTCCTCATCTTTGTAATTGTTACTATTGGTGATTATACCAGTACTATTGAATTATAACTCACATATCCTATAGTTCACCTGTTTTAAGTGTGCAATTCTGTGGTTTCTAGTATATTCACAGAGTTGTACATCACCACAGTCCATTTTAGAATGTTTTCATCACTCCAAGAAGAAGCACTGTGCCCGTAGCAGTCACTCCCCATTTCCTCCCAAACTCCTTAGTCCTGGGTAACCACTAATCTACTTTCTGCCTCCAAAGATTTGCTTATTCTGGACATTTCCTATAAATGGAATTGTATCATATGTGGTCTTTTGTGACTGACTTCTTTCTCTTGGCATGTTTTCAGGGTTCATCCATGTTGTAGCATGTTTCAGTATTTTGTTCCTCTTATTGGCTGATTAATACTCCCATTGTTTGGATATACCACATTTGTCCATCAGTTGATGGGCATTTGCATTGTTTCCACTCTTGGCTTTTGTGAATAATACTGCTGTGAACATTGGTGTACACTTTTTTGGGGGGGCATATGTTTTCAGTTCTCTTATACAGTGGAATTACTGGATTATACAATAACTAATGGTCTTGAGGCACTACCAGACTGTGACTATTTTTTCCAAAGTGACTACACCATTTTACATTTCTATCAGCAGTTTAGGAGGGCTCCAGGGAGTCTACTGTTAGTAGTAAAGATTATAAATTAAATACTGAGTACATTACAGTTGGTAAGTAAAGGAAGTGGTGTACATGCTTGGTTCTTGGACTGAAATATCAGGCAGTGATGAGAGTTCCATAAATAATTCATAGGATGTCAGCAAACTAACATCTTTAACTCCCCATCTTTGAATTGGTAGACTTACATTTTTTGAGCACCATCTTATTTTCTCCATTTTCTTTGAATAAATATAATTTCAGCAACTTTTGATACAATGATTCACTTGAGGTTGTTTAGTAATTGTCCAGGTATTATGGGCTGAAATGCTTTGACACTGGGATAGGAGAAGAGGCTTTGAACCTAAAGGGGAGAATTGTGATTGCTATCACTTTTTAAGCAATTGCATTTACTTTTTGTTTCTTTAGGGAAACCAGCCATTGCTCATAGAGATTTGAAATCTAAGAATATCTTGGTAAAGAAGAATGGAACTTGCTGTATTGCAGACTTAGGACTGGCAGTGAGACATGATTCAGCCACAGATACCATTGATATTGCTCCAAATCACAGAGTGGGAACAAAAAGGTATGCTTGTAAATAGTGTTTATTATCTTCTGAGCTCAACTTCTTTTTAATTTCCTTCTCATTTATGTGGATTATCTTCTGAAACTCAAACCTGTACTTTATTAGATTGCCCACAGGTAGAAGATCTCATGGTCTTGCCTGCTCTGAAGCCAAGGTTACCTGACTTTTAAAGATGCCTGCTGATGAAAGGTGGCCCTTCCAGAAAATATCATTTGTGGCCCTTCCAGAAAAATTATAATAATAATAGGAGCTGATGTTTATAGGGTACCCAGTATGTGCCAGTCATTTTAATGGGTCATATATATATATGTATATATATATTCTTGGTTCTTGCTTAATGTATATATATATATTCATTCTCTCAGTTAATGCTCTCTTCAAATGCTGTACTGTAGCTAGCCCAACTATTTTCTTATTTTTAGTTCCTGGAACTATACTTTCTTCCTTAGAATTTCTGCATGTGCTGTATCCTAGAGCAGACTTTGTCCTGCTGTTTCCCTGATTTATAGTCACCCTTCCTTTCCTAGAGGAAGCCCTTCCTGGACTGTGAGGCGCCCTTCCCAGGGGCTCTCATAGGAAGCTGTGAAGCTGGGCCATTAAGGCACTGAGCACATTATAACTCTCCATTTACTTGTCTTTATATTCCATTGGATTGCAAGCTGCTTGAGATCAGGCTTGTATTCCCAGCATCCATTATAGCACCTAATACATAGTAAGTCCTTAGTAAATATTTGTTGAATCTATGAGTTTTCTAAAGAACATAACTAGGTAGGTGTCATTGCCTTCAAACAGCCCCATAGATGTTAAATAATAAGGTCAGCCTCACCTGAAGAGCTGAGATTTGAATTTAGGCGTTTCTGACCCCAAAGGCCTTACTGTGTATATCACAGCACGTTGCCACAATGTATCTTCACACTATTGCCTCCACCTTGGATAGAGCCAAGCTTTATTCTATCTCAGTTGTATCTGTGATTTCTGGATTTGAGGAGGACTCTCAGAACTCTTGATGTGGGGATTCAGGACAGTGATTGCTACAGTTCTTCATGGATCCTGATCTGTAACTTCAGGAGGGTTTTTAAAATTCCAAAACCCTACAATGAGGCATCAGTAGGAGGACTGGCATTCATTTTTTTATCTATTATTTTGTTCCCTGGATTATGTCCTCATCCTTCCTTTTCATCCTATTTTAGTGAGAAGACTTCTAGATTAAAATATATGATCCCTGCGTAGTATTTGACAAAGTGGATGGTATATGTTAAGACATTTATAATAGTCATGATTGTTATATATGTGTCTTTCATTGGAAATGAAGATCATAAGGCAGATAAGATAGCATGAAATTGCTGTTTCAGCTTTTCATGGCATTTAGTTGACATCATTAATTTTCAAAGCAGTGTGGATATTTAATATTTTTCTTGAGTCTAATATTTTAGTTATATAATATTGTGTGTGTGTGTGTGTGTATCTCCATATATGAATAGAGATATCTGAAAGGTTGTTCATCAAAGCATTAATGATTTTTCACTTTGTACTTTATGAACTTTGAGAAAATTTCTATAAGAAGCATGAGTCATTTTAAAAAGCAGAACCATGCTAAAAGGGAAGAAAAGTCTTAAAGTTAATACCAATTTAAAATATATATATATAAAAAATTCTCAGTAGGAAAAGAAAATATGTGAAACAGTTCAAAAGTAGTATGGCTACTATTCCATAAAGTAAATTGCTGACTTCTTTTTTAGGTACATGGCCCCCGAAGTTCTAGATGATTCCATAAATATGAAACACTTTGAATCCTTCAAACGTGCCGACATCTATGCAATGGGCTTAGTATTCTGGGAAATAGCTCGACGATGTTCCATTGGTGGTAAATTTCTCCCCCTCTCCCAACAGTTTGTCATGAACAGAAAAGGTGGTCCAGGATAGCCACTTTTTTTTTTTTCTTTAAGATTTTTTTTTTAAGATTTTATTTTTTTATTTATGAGAGACACACACAGAGAGAGAGAGAGAGAGAGAGAGAGAGAGGCAGAGACACAGGCAGAGGGAGAAGCAGGCTCCACGCAGAAGCCCGAAATGGGACTCCATCCCGGGACTCCAGGATCACACTTTGGGCCAAAGGCAGGCACTAAGCCACTGAACCACCCAGAGATTCCCTTTAAGATTTTTATTTATTTATTTGACACTGAGAGATGGTGGTAGAGAGCAATCACAAGCAGGATGAGTGGGAGAAGGAGAAGACTCCTCACTGATCAGGGAGCCCAATGCGGGGTTCAATGCCAGGACCCTGGGATCATGACTGGAGCCAAAGGCAGATGCTTAACTGACTGAGCCACCCAGGCACCCCTGTCGTGTTTTTTTTGTTTATTTGTTTTTTTTTTCATTGAATGAAATTATGCGCATTAGTAGTCAAATTATATTCACCAGGTGATCACTGAGAGTGCCAAAGAAAATAATGGAGGTAAAACTTGCAGTGGGGGGAAATGACATGACATGATATGCTTATTCTAGTGTATTCTTTTTCTATTTCCATTTGAATCTTGGGAAACATCAGAAACCAAGCCCTTGTTATCTTGGAATATAGTTATTTATAATGGATGACTGCTTGAGAGGCCACCCAGGAAGCTGTTTCTACAGCATGTACCTGGGTCAAACTCATTTTCCCCCCTGAGAGTGTGGTTATTTTCTTCAACTTCTTAGCTGGAAGTTACATATACAGAATACAGTTACATTACCATTACACTAGTTTTTAAACAAGTTTATTTTAGCTGAAGTTTAGTTTTAGATTGAGCACTTTTAATATTTACTTGCGGAATAGTTTCTTATGCTTAGGGGCCCAGGCTTGGTTGAGACTTGGGTTTATGTGGCAATAAGAGGGAGAGCATGTCTCTGTATTATATAGCAAAGAGGACAGATCCAAGTAGAGGTAAAGGACTTGCACCTCAGATTTGCTTGTAGGATTTACATCTCCATGGTAGAGTGTATATCCCCTGTACCAAGTGAGAGGGTGAGCACTCACAGGTTAAAAACTATCATTTCTTGCACATGAGGCGAAAATGTTAATCAAGTCATCATAGCTCATACTTAACCCTCATTAAAATAGCCTTTGCTGATCCCCTAGTGATATGTAGTTTCAGGGTGTGGGCCCAGTACCAACTCAGAGAGATGGGTTGTTGATGCTTGTTGATGCAGATGTGGATGAGATAGAGCAAGCTAGAAGCCCTGTTCCACTTCGCTAATTTATTAATGGAACCCTGAACTAGGACTCTCAGCTATTCCTGGACAAAGAATGATCTGGCATTAGCTGAGTAAATTCTTCAAAAACAATTTCTTTTAACCAATATAGGAATTCATGAAGATTACCAGCTGCCTTATTATGATCTTGTACCTTCTGATCCATCAGTTGAAGAAATGAGAAAAGTTGTTTGTGAACAGAAGTTAAGGCCAAATATTCCAAACAGATGGCAGAGTTGTGAAGTGAGTATTGATTTTGGATACTACACAATTTTCTAAACTGCTTCTGCTTGTATGTGGAAATTTGTTACTTTTTTTTTTTAAGGAAAATAGACACAAGAATTTTTTTTCTTTATCTTTTTTTTCATGGCAGTTAAACCAGTGAGTGAAAAACATAATTTTGTTTTCCTGTTCAATCTCAAGTACATCAAAAATCAAAAGGGCCATGGAGCATTTGCAGTGACCATCAGTGTGTCAGAATAGTATTTAAATCTACCAGTGAACCAAGGCGCCTGCATTTTCATTTTATCTGTTTTTTACATGGAGCATTCAGTCCATTTATGTTTAATGCACTTATCAGTATAGACGGGTTTAAATTCACCCTTTTTTCTTTTCTTTTTTTTTTTTTTAAAGTGCACTCCCTAATCCCTATCACCTATTTAACCCATCCCCCCACCCATCTCCCCTTTGGTAACCACCAGTTTGTTCTCTGTAGTTGAGAGTCTATTTCTTGGTTCCTTTCTCTCTCGCATGTGCATGCGTTTGTTTGCTTTTTTCTTTGCTTGTTTTTATGTTTCCTAAATTCTACATATGAGTGAGATCACATGGTGTTTGTCTTTCTCTGACTAACTTATTTCATTTAGCATTATACTTTCTAGCTCCATACCTGTTTTTGCCAATGGCAAAATTTCATTCTTTCTTATGACTGAGTAATATTCTATATATACCACACCTTCTTTATCCAGTCATCTGTTGATGGACACGGGTTGCTTCCATAGTTTGGCTATTGTAAAATAATGCTACAGTGAACATAGGGGTACATGTATGCCTTTCAGTATTTTTGTATTTGGGGTGTAAATACCCAGTAGTGCGATTCCTGGATCATAGGATATTTCTCTTAATTTTTTGAAGGAATCTCCATAATATTTTCCACAATGGCTTCACCAATTTGCATTCCCAGGAACAGTGCAAGAGGGTTCTTTTTTTTCCACATCCTTGCCAACACTTGTTTCTTGTGTTTTTGATTTTAGCCATTCTGACAGGTGTGAGGTGATATTTCATTGTAGTTTTGATTTGCATTTCCCTGATGATGAGTGATGGTAAGCATCTTTTTATGTGTTTGTTGGCCATCTGAATGTCTTCTTTGAAGAAATACGTCTTCTGCCCATTTTTTAATTGGATTCTTTGGTTTTTTGGTTTTGAATTGTATCAGTTCTTTATATCAGATACATCATTTAAAAATATCTTCTCTAGTCACTGGGGTAGCACAGTTCAGTTAAGCATCAGACTCTTGGTTTTGGCCCAGGTCATGATCTCGGGGTTTTGAGATTGAACCCCATGTTGAGCTCTGCACTCAGCGCAGTCTGCTTAAGACTCTCCTTCTGCCCTTCACTGTCTCTCTCTCTCTCAAATAAATTAATTTTTTTTAAATTAATTTTTAAAAATCTTCTCCCATTCAGTGGGTTGCTTTTAGTTTTTACTGATCATTTCCTTTGCTGTGCAGAAGCTCTTTATTTTGCTGTAGTCTCAGTTTATTTTTGCTTTTGTTTCCTTTGCCTCAGGATACCTATCTAGAAAAATGTTGCTATAGCCAATGTCAGAGAAATTACTGCCTGTGCTCTCTTCAAGGATTTTTATAGTTTTAGGTCTCACATTTAGGTCTTTATTCCATTTTGAGTTTATTTTTGTGTGTGGTGTTAGGAAACGATCCAGTTTCATTCTTCTGCTTGTTAACTGTCCAGTTTTTGCAACACCGTTTGTTGAAGAGACTTTTTCCCATTGTATATTCATTCCTCCTTTGCCAAAGATTAATTGACCATATAATCGTGGGTTCATTTATATGTTTTCTGTTCTATTCTATTGATCTGTGTGTCTGTTTTTATGCCAGTATCATACTGTTTAATTACTACCACTTTGTAATATAACTTTTAGTCCAGAGTTGTGATACCTTCAGTTTTGTTTTGTTTTTTTACCAAGATTGCTTTGACTCTGAGGTCTTTTGTGGTTCCATACAAATTTCAGGATTGTTTGTCTTAGTTCTCTGAAAATGCTGTTGGTATTTTGATAGGGATTGCATTAATTATATATATTGCTTTGGGTAGTTATAGACATTTAAAAAATATTAGTTCTTCCAACCCATGAGCATAGAATGTTTTTCCATTTCTTTGTATCGTCTTGAGCTTCTTTCATCATCAGTGTTTTATAGTTTCCAGAGTACAGGTCTTTTACCTCTTTGGTTATGTCTATTTCTAGATATTTTATTGTACTTGGCATAATTGTAAATGGGTTTGTTTCCTTAATTTCACTTTTGCTGCTTCATTATTAGTGTATAGGAATGCAACAGATTTCTCTACATTGATTTTGTATCCTGCCACTTTACTGAATTCATTTATCAGTTCCAGTAGTTTTTTTGGTGGAGTCTTTGGGGCTTTCATATGTAGTATCATGTCTTTTGGAAAGAGAAGGCACCTGCATTTTAAACGAATGCATCGGGACGCCTGTGTGGCTCAGCGGTTTAGCGTCCGCCTTTGGCCCAGGGCATGTGACCCTGGAGTCCCGGGATCGAGTCCCACATCGGGCTCCCTGCAAGTGGCCTGCTTCCCCCTTCTGACTGTGTCTCTGCTCCTGCCTCTTTCTCTGTCTCTCATGAATAAATGAATAAAATATTACAAAATAAATAAATAAACGAATGCATCCTTTTGATCAGGGCAGCCCAGAACAGTAGAATGGGTGCTGGATGGAAATTAAGAAGCCTGTATTTTAGACCAACCTGGCCACCATTTCTGAGTCTGACTTTGGGCAAATCATTTCAGTTCTCCAGATCCTAACATGCCTTTTAAAAGGAGGAAGCTGGATAAGGTGATTGGGAGGATGGTCTGATGATTTAACATCTTATTCATCCAGTTGCCTGTGTGACCAGGAATGTGGGTAAAATGCTTTCCAGCAGTGTCTGAGATTCTCAACCCCAGGTCTTACAAAAATTTTAGAAATGCTTTTTGTACTTGTAAATTTAAAGAATTCATAAGACAGATCTTATTTAATCTATACTTAATTGCTAGTTGTCACTATTATAATATTGGCAAGAGAGAACATTTTCCTCCAGATGTGAAATTTTATAACTTAAAAGGAATAAAAAGATGGCGACCTAAGTAGTTGGTTTTACATCTCAAAAGAACATGGGACTTAATAGTCAGGACATCAAGAGTGCTCCTTGGCTACCTACAACAAAGTCAAGTGTCCAGGCCCAGATAAAATACATCTCAGTGTGCTCAGAGAATTTACATGTTTAACAAATGAAATTGGGCTGGATTTTGTCTTTTACAGATTTGATCTTGATATTGCAAAGTGCAAACTTGAAGTATTAATACACACATTAAATAAATAGAGCACGTTATGAAACAGATGGCTTTTTAAGCATGAGGAAAAGTTAGCAGAAAACATTAAGAGGACACACGGAATTTATAGTTACTGTCATATCATGCTGAATTAATGCCACTGGTGTCATTTTTGTTTTTTCTCCATTTGGTTAGTTTTCTAACCAAAATGATTCAGTCTTAAAACTTTTCTGGAGTTTTATAAATCTCCTCTCAAAAGTTGAAACACATTAAGAACATGAAACTATGATAGAATGACTGGAGAAGTATTTTCTTGAACCTTCCTATCTTTTCTAGTCTGGACTTGTGGCTCTCTAGGCCAGCTGTGCAGCTTTTGTCTTGGGATAGCCCTCACTGTTTGTCCTGGGTTCCCTTTGTCTCTGTGATAGTGAACCTTCCTTCCTGGATCCCATGACTTCATGTTTCTTGGTGTATTCAACTCTCCCCCTTTTTTAAGTCTCTGCTCAGATGTTACCTTGTTAGTGGACATTTAAAATATCACCTTCTTTCCCATGCATATTTTTAGCTCCTTACCTAAATGATGTTTTCCTTAGCAATTACCACTGACAATCCACATATTTTATTTGTTTGTTAATGATATGCTTTGGCTCCCTAGAATGTGAGCTTTATGAGGGCTGGGATTTTGTTTGTCTGTCCTCTGTTGTATCCCCAGTACCTAGGATGGTAGATGGTATGCTCTCTATAAATTTGTTATTTTGTGGAATGAGTGTATGTGATGGGCATTTGGTCCTTTTTATCTGGAAATGAATGTTCATTTTTAGGAAATGTCCCTGAAGTATTTCTTTGACTTGTTCCCTTCTGTTTTCTTCTGTTCTCTTTCTTACACTACAGTTTTGAACGTTAGACCTCTTGAAGAGGCCTTCTCATTTTCTTCTCTTTTCTGTCTTATCCATCCCTGGTTTTCCCTACACTTTCTGTGAGGTTTATCAACTTGTATCTTTTTTCCTCAGGTTTATTTTCCAATTCTTTTGTCAAGTTTTTCCAAAGTCAAACAAAAAGCAAAAGAAAAAATTGTCAGTGATGAATCTGAGTATTTTCTTCTATCTCTTTGAGGATATTAATAATAAGTTGTTGATATTTTCTTTCTGTACAACTCTTTTGTCCAAGGAGCTTTGTTCTGTTTGTATCAGCTTCTGCATTCATACCGCTGTCTCTGATGTCTGCTCAAACTCCAGTTTTCTTCATGTTTAAAGACAGGACACACTGGAAGCTGATGGAAGCTTTGTGCACACGAATGGAGCTTATCCATTGTGACCTTCAGGGTGACCTAAATGGGTTGCTTCCTTGTGGAGCCCCAATGTCAGTATCTTCAGGTCTTTCCTCTTGGGCTCACATTTCCCAGAGAAGACCCTTTTAGTCTCTTGCCTGGAGGAGTATCTACAAGTTGCTGCCTGTGTTTTGGGGAGAAAACCTATGATTTTATCATTTAGTGAGTTGTCAGTATGGAATTTTGCCCCCATCTTTCCCAAGTCAGAAATCTGTTTTACCCCTCAGATACAAACTTCTAGTCTTTTGCTAGGGTGGGGTTGGGGCAATCACTCAGCTTGGTAAAGCTTGGGGATGGGGAGGTATCTGGGGTTCCAGCATTTTTGGGTGATCCTCCTATTTTTTAGTTTGAACTTTCCCTCAGAGGAAGTTCTCAGTACAGTTAATTCCTTGGTTAATTCTCAATTAACTCAGTGCAGTTAATTCCTTGGTTCTAGGGGGAGTTTCTGTGTGAATTAATAAGTCCCTTTTTTGCCTTATACATTGGTTTGGGATTCAGCTCTTTTAGTTCTGCTAAGTAAGTCGGCCTTCATCCATCTGCTTTCCAGGTGCTGACACCAGTACCCTACTGATGGGAATTGAAGTCATTTCTATTCATTTGCTATAACAAATAATGCAGAAACATAGCAAAATAAAAAAAAATTGAACATATGTCACTTAGAAATTGTACAGAGTTCAGATCTTATCCAGATGAATAGAGAGCGGTGCATTAATTAATTATTATTAATTCATTAATTATTTTTCTTCTATTTTCTTGCAGGCCTTGAGAGTAATGGCTAAAATTATGAGAGAATGTTGGTATGCCAATGGAGCAGCGAGGCTTACAGCTTTGCGGATTAAGAAAACATTGTCACAACTCAGTCAACAGGAAGGCATCAAAATGTAGTTCTGCAGCTTTGCCTGAACTCTACTTTTCCTTCAGATCTGCTCCTGGGTTTTAATTTGGGAGGTCAATTGTTCTACCTCAGTGAGAGGGAATAGAAGGATATTGCTTCCTTTTGCAACAGTGTAATAGGTCAATGAGAAACTCCCCAGGATTTCTTTGGACCCAGGAAACAGCTGTGTGGGTCCTTTCTGTGCACTATGAACACTTCTTTCCCAGGACAGTTACAAGATGTTGTGTAGTCTACCTTTATTTTTTATTAACACAAAACTTGTTTTTTTTTAAAAAAAAGATGATTGCTGGTCTTAACTTTAGGTTAACTCTGCTGTGCTGAAATCATCTTTAAGGGTAAAGGAGCTGGATTGTTGAGTTATACGAAACATTTCTTATTTTTAAAGAAAGTGATTTATTTCTGGTTAGTACATTCTCAGAGGATTCTGAACCACTAAAGAGTTTCCTTGATTCAGACTTTGAATGTACTGTTCTATAATTTTCAGGATCTTAAAACTAACACTTATAAAACTCTTATCTTGAGTCTAAAAATGACCTCATATAGAAGTGAGGAACATAATTTATGCAATTGTATTTTGTATACTGTTACTGTTCTTTCACATATTCAGAACATTACATGCCTTCAAAATGGGATTGTACTATACCAGTAAGTGCCGCTTCTGTGTCTTTCTAATGGAAATGCGTAGAATTGCTTAAAGTCTGTGTGTCTTAAAAGCTATAGTATTTTAATTCCAAAAGTTTATTTATCTGGGTAACCCAGACTTTTTCTGTTTTGTTTTTTGGAAGATTTTTTTGTAGTATGTCATTTGGTATTCTATTTGAAAATGCCTTTCTCCTACCAAAATGTGCTTAAACCACTAAAGAAATGAAGTGGCATTAATTGGTAAATGTTATCATGGTCATTTTTGAATATTCTCACATCAAGCTTTTTTTTACATTTAAATTGTGTCGTCCAAGTATACCTTAAAAAAGTCAAGTGGCACTCTAGATGCTTATAGTACTTTAATAATTTAAAACTTGTGGCATACAGACTAATTTTTCTAAAAGGGAAAATTTGTCTAGCTGCTTGTGAAAAGTTGTGTGGCATTCTGTAAGCCATTTTTTTCTTTATCTGATCAAAGACAGTGTTATTTTTTTAAGAAATGAATTACATTTAAAATTAAGGTATGGTTAATGTTAAATAATAGGCCTTTTTCTAGGAAGGTAAAGGTAGTTAATCATTTGAGTAGATAACAGGTGTGCAAGAGAGTCACATTTGTTGCATAGGAGTCAGTGTTCGGTGGACTTTCTGTCTTTGTAACTAAGGTTAGAGTTAGTGTGGTTCTGAGGTCTCACTCCACTTTGAGGAAGGCAGCTTCTAATTCAGTCTTTCTGTGTGCAGATACTGCAACTGCTTACTTTATATGGTTAGGTAATAAGTTTAGTACACCCTTGATATTTGGGAGAGTGGTAGCTAAAGAACATTCTGAATATAGGTTCTCCATTTACAGATGTTTTGAGTCAAATTCAGTGTTTAAAGCAAACTCGTCATGGTCTTCACACTAAGTTGAAACTAGCTTATGATACCTGGTTTTTACTTCCAGTGCTAAAAGTCTTTTAGACTTTTAGACAGTTTTCAGAGTTCTCTTTATCACTGTGATCTTATTCTGATGGGAGAAAAAACTATCATAGCAGTGAGGCAAGACATTGACTTTATAGTGCTATCAATTTCCAGATGAAAGGGTCAGAATAACCTTTATAGTATTTGGTCAGTAAGAGATAGTGGCCATTTATGCTGACTAAGCTGCATTCTGATCATGTCTTATCTCTTATACATAGAATAAATTTGAAAGACTATTTGGTCTTAAAGCCAAAGTAATTTTAGAATGAATGGCATATGCATAGGAATTTAGTGTCAATTTCATGTGTTTAAAAACATCATGGGGAAAATGTGCTTAGAGGTTAATATTTTGACTCCAAATTTGTGTTTTTTTCTGTAGTTACCATGATTTTGTCAAAGCAAGTGAATGAGTTTGAGGGATTTGGTTTTATAATTGTCTTATATTTCCTGTTTAATAATCTCTAGCTCAATGATTAGGTACTTTTTTTTCCCCCCTTTGGCCATTTCTAAGCCTACCAGATCTGCTTTATGAAATCCAGGGGACCAATGCTAAAACTATTTTTACATAACTTTAAGAACATACCAAAAGTTCTTACCTGATTTAAAATTGTGATACATGATTTCTCACTTTCGTATAAGGTAATCGACTTCTTGCCTAAGTGGATAAAATGTACTTTTGGTGAGTCAGGGAATTTTTCTTAAAGTTGGAGTTTAGTTCTAAATTGGGTTTATATATTACTGCAGCAAATTCCTTTTTTGGCTAATGACAGGTTGATAAGCCCCAATTAGTTAATATTGAAAATGAAAGTCACTTAAAAATGAAATAGATCATGATTACTATGGCCATAACTGCAGATGTGTCTAACTAGAGTATTAATTTTGTCATTTAGAAACACAAGCCTTTGTTTATACTGCCTATCTTCAGATGCTCACCTTCCAAAATTAAACTTGGCTTAACACATACCTTTAGGCCAGTTACCTGTCCACATTCATTTCACCAGTACGCCGGAGGAATGGGGATGAAGGAGGGATGACCCAGTGAGGCACAGGTATCCCTGGTCCTTCCTAACTTTAGTTTCAGTTTCTCTCAACTTGCCTTCCTGCTGGTCCCTGACTCAGAGACCAGTTATCTTGCCCCTACCATTCCCCACCCATTTCCCCTCAGCAGCCTTTTGACTGAATAGCTGCTTTTGAAATCTAGAGTAAAATGATTGATGGAAGTGTGGGACATGCTTTCATTCCCTTGAGTCACTGGATGTTGCTGGGAGGGATCTCCAGGTTTGGAGATTGGGTGGACAGTCGCCCTGCTGGCTGCCTTGTTGTGACTTTAGCTATAGCCAAGGAATGGGAAGGCAGCAAGGTAGCAGTTATGGCTATAGGAGTTGTGCCAGAAGCAGTGGCAAATCATATCCTCTATAGGACAGGGTAAGGTCTGAAGAGCTGAGCCTGTAATTCTGCTGTAGTGATAGTGCTCAAGAAGTGCCTTGAGTCTGTGCACAGTGTCATGGTTAATAACATCAAGAATTCAAAATTTCAGTTCTTGTTAAAAAATGTAAGTGGTCACTTGGCCATTTTGCAACTCATGCATGAGCTACCTTTAGTTCCCCTTCTACATCTGAGAACTGTCCCATATAGAATATTTTATAAAACAAGATGGCATTGTGCTAAGTAAAATGCAGAACAAAATCAGTATCCCATTAGACATGCCATATTCAGAGTTTATTTTTATCCTTGCACTGAAAGAATGATTGTAAATCGACGGTTTCTTTTTGTTTCTTGATTGTGGCAGTGTTCTGGCTCCAAATGATGGAGATTCCAAATAAGGTTGTAACAACAGCTTGGCAGGAAATGCCAGTTCAGATATTTGTGAGATCCTAAAGAATAGATCTGGACACATATTCTGTAGCTTCTTGTGTCTCTGTTTTGGAATGCTGGACTACCCATGGGCCCTCTCTCTAGGAATGCTGGAATTCTAAGGCATTCTGAGGATTGTCAGTACATTTAAACTTTTCAACACCATTATGCAATCTTATTTGTGATTGTAAACTTTTAAGAATGTGTTTAATAACATTCAACCTGTTTCTTAAGGCTGAAAAAAAGAACTTAAGTGAATTTGTTTTTATTTTTTAAAAAGATTTGTGAATTGAATATCATGAACCGTGTTTTACTATCCCTTTTTCACATTGTGCCAATGGATGGGGTGTTTGATATTTCTTTATATGTCAAGGAGATGCTTCAAAATGTCAATCGCTTTAAACTTAAATTACCTCTCAAGAGACCAAGGTACATTTACCTCATTGTGTATATAATGTTTAATATTTGTCAGAGCATCCTCCAGGTTTGCAGTTTTATTTCTATAAAGTATGAGTGTTATGTTGCTAAATTACTCAAATGGTACTGTATTGTTTATATTTGTACCCCAAATAACATCCTCTACACTTTGTTTTCTGTATTTTATTGTATTTGTGCAAAATTCTTTTGGCTTTATCAGTGTGATCTCTGCCCTTTCAGCTGTGTACAGAAAATGTCCATATAAATTTTCATTTTAGTTGAATGCCTTTGAGAAACCTGTAAAGAGGAAAGAAACAAAAAACTGCAGTTCCCCATAAGTTTTTAAAAGTTGTATATTGTATTTGTAGTAATATTCTGAATGAGTTGTAAATAGGAAGTAGAAGAACAATGCTTATGTCAAGTCCTAACACTACAGTAGAAAAATGGAAGCAATGCAAATAAATGACTTTTTTTCCCAAATGCTAGTGGAATAATTTAAAATAAAGTGTGTATATTGGATTGAGCCATGCTGTTATGAAATGTAGTTGCTGTAGATAGACATTTGAATTTTTGGATTATTCCCCAGTACAAGTTACACATAAGGTGGGTTAAGAAGTGCCCACCTGCCCCAGAGCGCCTCCATGGGTGTGGTGGCTTCTTCCCATGTGCACAGGGGTTGTTAATCTGTCAGTGGATGGGGTAGGACCTGCCTACTGGTGAACTATTTTCACTCACAAATTTGCTAGGGTTGTGTTAAAGTAATGTTATTATTTTGATTCTCAAAGTTTTGCAGTTCTTTTCAAAGGAAATTTAGGGTGTTTTCATCTTCTTTCCTAATGTTAGGATTTCTGAGAATTGGCACAATTTGTAAAAATAGGCTTTGCTTTTTTTTTTCTTAAGTAAATTTGAACAGTTAGTATGCTGAGAGTGGGAACATGGCTCATGAGAGAACTGGGCAGATAGCGGATGAAGAGATGTGGCCCCAAACTCTTGACTAACAGTTGGGAGAGGTTTTGTGGATTGGCTTGTTCTTGCATTAAAGATTATCACTTCAATTCAAAGACTGGATTTAGGGACTTTTTTTCTTTCTCCATAATAAAGAAGACACATCACTAGGATGTAAAACTTTTGTTGAAAGATGGAAAAAAGTGAAGTTATTTTTAAAACAGATTCAGAGAAACAGCAGAACCAGCTTTATACTGGTCTCTTCTAATTTAGAAAAAGTGTTTTTGTATATGTGGTCTCATGGACATATCTTGCAACTCTACATTTTTTTTTTAATTTTACAGTTGAGGATTTACAAAACAATGGGACTATGAAAGATGAGTAGAAAAACTTTATCTTATGAAAACCAAGGCTCAGTCATGCATGGTTCAGCCATGCATAATTTTTAAGAATTGGGGAAAAAACAAATAATATTAAACCATTACAGAATTAAAGGATTCTGTATGAGAGCTAAAGAGAAATGGAAAAGGTAAGAAACTTAAGATAACTATTTTCTATTAGAAAAAATCGAATTATAAAGGGATTGGCAACTTAAGTATTTCAAAGGGGGAAGAATCCATTGGGGGGGGTAAGAAAAATCAGAAGTAAAGGGTAGTATTGATGTAGACCAATTATAAAATGTGCACCTACTGTGGTAGGCAGCACTAAAACACTTGGGATCTTAATGTAATATAGATGGTGTACAGGGAGGTCTGGTTCTTTGTTTAAAGGGAGGTGTGATTGATAAACCATTTGGTAATGTTAGACATTTAAGTTTTTTTAAAAAGTTTAGAGAGTGTGTGCGTGCAGGTGAGGGGAGGGGCAGAGGGAGAGAATCTTTAAGCAGACTCCCTGTGGAACCTGAACGTGGAGCCTGTCTTGGGGGCTCCATCCACTAGCGTGTACAATCACGACCTGAGCTGAAACCAAGAGTCGGATGCTCAAACTGAGCCACCTAGGCACCCCCAAAGTTAGACATTTTGAAAGGAAAAACTACATGGGAAAGGTTATGGACATCAACTATAAAATAACATTAGAATTGCTGTTTGGCGAGGCACCTGGTTGACTCAGTTGGTTAAGCGTCTACCTTCGGCTCAGGTCATGATCCTGGGGTCCTGGGGTCGAGTCCCACACCAGGCTTCCTGCTCGGCAGGGGTTCTGCTTCTCCCTCTGCCTGCTGCTCCCCCTGCTTGTGCTCTCTCTGTCAAATAAATAAAATCTTTAAAAAGAAAAAAATCAACTGCTTGGCAAAAATCATCCCCACAAGAGGAGTTAGGTGGTCATTGAATTCATAAGCTGAAATAGATGTGGGCACTCAGTGAAAGATGGATTGAATGTACTTATTTTTGAGATTTAATTCCAGATGTGGAGAGATGACTGCACTTGTCATTACCTAGTGTTTGAGTTTTTCCAAGTGCTTTCATATGTATGATCACCTGATTTTTACAACTAGGACAGATGGTGGCCAACTGAAAGTGTCCTAAGAAGGGTACAGAGGACTGAGAGGAGTCTGGCAGTCCTTCCTTTAGGGAATGGCTGAAGGTGATCTGGGTGTGGATTTTTATTTTTTTTTTATTTTTTAAAGATTTATTTATTTGCCAGAGAGAGAGCACAAGCGGGAGCAGCAGGCTCCCCAGGGAGCAGGGGGCCCAATGTAGGGCTCAATCCCAGGACCCTGGGATCCTGACCAGAGCTGAAGACATGCTCAACCAACTGAGCCACCCAGGGACCCCTGGGTATGAATTTTTAGGAGTGAGGCCAGAGAGGGCAGATATTGTGTAAGGGGCTCAGGAGTAGCCTTCTCTCTTTCCCTGGCCTTCCACTCTGTGCGCTTCTTTGTCTCCTGGCTTGTTCCTGCAAGTTCTGATTTGGGAACAAAGCCTTGTCACTTGGTAGGCCAGTGGCAGCTGACCAAGCCCCAGAGCCAGCATTGGTGCTCACCTCAGCCTGAAGGACAGAGAGGACGTTGAAAATCTCATAAAAACGACAAAACCCCCCAAAACCTAGAAAGCTGAACATTCTAGATGTCCTCAATGTGTAGCAGACCTAACTGGTTCTGAACAGGCTAGAGCAGTTAGTACAGATCAAATACCAAGGATGACCTATAGGTGCCCTTCTCTCGGGTTCCTGATAGGGGAGGCTCAGGGAGGGCAATGGGTATAACAGAGCAGACTTTTATACACCAAGCTCAGATCTTTCCTTTTCCAACTACTGGATTCACAAGAGTGTAGGGAAGGTAACTCCTGCCGCCCTGAGCTCCTCTAGCCAGCTCAGAAGGGCTGGGCATCCATCCTGTGGTTGTGACTCAGATTTAAGGCCTGCAGATTTGGGATTAGGTTGCCACTCTTCAGTAGGCCCCAGAGTGTCTGGTATTTTTATATCTAATCTTAAAGCGTGCTTGGGATAACAGTCCCCTTGCGAATCTGTGAGTCAAGACCAACGGAGGGACTGTGGGTTTATGGATAATTATTGCACTTTCGGGAAGTTTCAGGGATTTTTGGTTGGGAGGATTTGCATACAACAAGCTTTCCAAAATGAAGGCAAAAAATAAGGGCAAAATAAAAAGATAAAAAGACGATGTTGCCTGTGGATCTGCTTTTAAAGAAACCCTTCAGAACGAAAGTAAATAACAAGATGGGCACAAATCCACAGGATGGAAGGGAGACTACTGGAAATGGTAAATATGTGAGTAAATATAAAGAATTGTATAAATGTATTGCTGACAACATTACCACAAATGTATTGGCTTACAACAATACCCATTTGTGATCGCACACTTCTGTAGTTCAGAAATCCAAGTATAATGTGGCTGAGTTGGTTCTCTGCACCATGTTTTAGAAGGTCAAAATCAAGGTATTGGCTGTACTGCATTCCTTCTGGAGGCTAAAGGATAAATTGACTTCTAAGTTCATTCAGATTGTTGGTAAAATTTGGCTCCATGCGGTTGTATGACTGAGATCCCCATTTCCTTGCTTACTATCAGGGGAGCTATTCTCAGTCCCTAGAAACCACTCACAATTCTTGACTATTGGTTCCTTTCCTCCATCTCCAAAGCCAGCAACAGTAATGTGGGTCCTTCTCACAGTTTCTGATCTCCTCTTCCACCTCATTTCATTTCTCTTCCACTGCATTTCTCTCTGAATGACTCTTCTACCTCCCTCTTCTATTGTTCATAGATTACGTGTGATTGCATTGGGCGCCTCTGAATAATCTAGGATCATTTCCCTATTTAGTAACATTAATTTCATTTGCAAAGTCTTTTTGTGGCAGTATCTTGATTAAATAACCAGAGGATGGGAATCTTGGAGAGACACCTACCCACACAATAAGTGTATTTTTTTTCTTTTTTAAATGGCATGTTACTGTATAAAGCAATAACAATAACACTATATGTTGGGTTTATAACATAGATGCAATGTATATTATAATAATAGCACAAAGGAGGGAGTAGGAAATGGAGCTATATTGAAAGTTCTGTATTTTGTTGGAATTACGTTAGTATTCATCTGAGGAAGACTGTGATAAATTGAAACGCATATTATTGTCCCTAGAGCAAGCACTAAAACAATACTAAAAAAAAAAAAAAGTTAAAAAATCAATAGAACTTAAAATGGTACACAAAAGAAGGCAGTAAGAGAGGGACAGAAAAGAAAAAAGATATGACACATTTGGAAAACAAATAGCAAAATGGCAGCCATAACTCTAACCATACCAATAATTTCATTAAATGTAACTGGACTAAATACTCAAAAGGTAGAGGGGCACCTGGATGGCTCAGGATTGAGTCCCACATCGGGCTCCCCTCAGGGAGCCTGCTTCTCCCTCTACCTATGTCTTTGCCTCTCTCTGTGTCTCTCATGAATACATAAATAAAATCTTTTAAAAAAAAGGTAGAAATCATTGGAATAAAAAAAAGCAAGACTCAACTATATGGTGTTTTATAAGAGCCATATTTTAGATTCAAAGACAAACCGTTTGAAAGAAATGATATGGAAAATATATACCATGCAAAAGGTAACCATAAGAAAGCTGGAATAGGCAAAGTGGGCTTTGAGACAAGAAATATTGCTAGAAATAGAGGACAGTTCAATCACTTGAACGGTGATTTTAAAAGTGTAAATATATTAGGCAGGGAGATATAACAACTATTAACGTATATGCACTTAAAAACAGAGCCCCAAAATACATGCATGAAGAAAAAGTGACAGATTTGGAAGGAGAAATAAACAATTCAACAATAATACTTGGAGATTTCAATATCCTACCCTCAATAATGATAGAACAACTGGACAAAAAACATAAAAGAATGCTGTTAGTCAACTTGTCCTGACATTTGTAGAACACCACCCACCAGACAGCAGAACACACATTCTTTTCAAGTCCACATGGAACATTCTCCAGGGAAGACCATATGCTGTGCTATAAAACAAGTCTCAACAATAAAAAAAAAATTGAAATCATAGAAAGTATCTTCTCTAACCATATTGAAATTAAATTAGAAGTCACAACAGAAAGAAATCCCCAAATATATAGAAATTAA